TAAAATAGAACAATGGTAGATTTAAACTCCAAAGTGGCACTAAGCCATTATCCAAAGAACTGATAAGGGTTATCACAAAAATAAACTCTCTCTTAAATGGTATATCAGTGAACTGCAAGTAGTTCACAAAATATTTGCTCATATATACAAATGACATTTAAAAAATATTTCCAAAGTGCTAAGTGTACGTGTTACTTTAACACATGCACTAAAAATTTAACTGGAGAAATCACTGATTTATAGTAACATTAGGAAAACATTATTTCTATTATCTTTTCCTTTAATTAAATGTGCCCAACCACATGAAGAACTAATATACTTTTGAGTTTTTTACAAGTGACTAAAGTGACTTTGGTATAGTGACACCATACCCTTGTAAGCTGCTTTCCCAAGTCTCTTAACAGTTGCATAGAACATTAAGTGCTTGAATTTAAAACCAAGACACAGGAAATACACTCCCCCCCTGCAGAAAATTCCCCCAAATGGCCTTTTAGGTAACTAGAATAGGTTTAAATATATAAAATCTTTATTTAGATTAGAAAACATACAGATTTTTTCTTATGTTCAAAGAGGTCAAAATGATATCTACCATATTAAATTTTATAAAATAAACACACAACCACCATTTTACCTAGGAGTGTCTGTCTTTACTTGTGATATTAATATTAAATAACATTTTCTTATGCAAGAACAATGGACTAGAAGATAGATGTAGATACTAGTCCTGGCTCTGCCACTTACTAGCTGAAAACTGTGGGCAAATCACTTAATAAAACAAAGTTTCCCCATCTATAAAACAAGATGGCTTCACCATATTGCCTCTCAGGGTCCTTTTTCGAGTGTGTAAGTTTTACTTGCTTTACAAGAGTGAAAAAATATCAAGTAAGAGACACTGTTTTATTTGCTGATTAAACAGATGAATAAACAATTATGTTCCTCTGGTGGGCAATGTGTTAGAGCAGAAATAACAGAATTTATAGTGAGGAAATCTCAATTACAGTACTGATTCAACAAATAAATTACTAACTTTGGCCTTGAATATGTCATTTACTCTTTCTGAGACTCCATGTTTTCATATGTAGAATAGGAGTAATGATATTCTTACCAACCTGAAAAGCTATTCCACTGATCAACTGAAGTAACATGAAAATATCTTGAAACTTCTAAGTACTATAGTTTTTAAGTAAAGATTCTTTTACATTTAGAGCTACATCTCCATAATTTTTTGACACACAAAATGCTATAATGGCCGGGTGTGGCGGCTCATGCCTGTAATCCTAGCACTCTGGGAGGCCGAGGCGGCCGGATTGTTTGAGCTCAGGAGTTCGAGACCAGCCTGAGCAAGAGTGAGACCCCGTCTCTAGTAAAAAAAAAAAAAAATAAAGAAAGAAATTAGCTGCACAACTAAAAATATGTAGAAAAAATTAGCCGGGCATGGTGGCACATGCCTGTAGTCCCAGCTACTAGGGAGGCTGAGGCAGTAGGATCGCTTGAGCCCAGGAGTACGAGGTTGCTGTGAGCTAGCATGACACCACAGCACTCACTCTAGCCAGGGCAACAGAGTGAGACTATGTCTCAAAAAAAAAATGCTATAATGTATTCAACTTGGTAAATTTGAAGAAAAGTATATACCCACAAAACCATAACCACAATCAATGCCATAAACATATCTATCACCTCTAACAATGTCCTCCCACCTTTATTATTATTTTGTGATAAGAACACTTAACATAAGATCTACCCTCTTTGTACATTTTTAAGTATACAATATTACTAACAATAGGCACTATGCTATACATTAGATCTCTAGGACTAAATTATCTTGCCTAACTGAAACTTTGTGCCCTTTGACCAATACCTCCTCATTTCCTGCTCTCCCCACCCCCTAGAAATAATCATTCTACTCTTGACTTCTATGAGTTTGAGTATTTAGACTCCTCATATAAATGGGATCATGCAGTATTTGTCTTTCTGTGTTTCGCTTATTTTACTTAGCATAATGCCCTCCAGGTTCATGCATGTTATTGCAAATGGCAGGATTTCCTTTTTCTAAGGCTGAATAATATTCCATTGTATTTGTATACCACATTTTCTTTATCCATTCTTCTGCTGATGAACATTTATGTTGCTTCCATGTCTTAGCTATTGTGAATAATGACTACAATGAATATGGGAGTTCAGATATCTCTTCAAGATCCTGATTTCAATTCCTCTGGATATACACCCAGAAGTGAAATTGCTGGGATCACATCATAGTTCTATTTTTAATTTTGTGAGGAACCTCTACATTGTTTTCAATAGTGAGTGTACCAATTTATATTCCCAACAAGAATGTGCAAGGATTCCCTTTTCTCCACATCGTCACCAACACTTAGTGTCTTTTTTTTTTTTTAATAATAACCATCCTAACAAATGTAAAGTGATATCTCATGGTGGTTTTGATTTGCATTTCCCAGATGTGAGTGACATTGAGCACCTTTTCATATACCTGTTGGACACTTGCTGATTCTTAATTGTTCTCTGACAGAAAAGAATGTTAAAAATGAGACAGTTTAATTTTATATAGAAGTATTTAAATTGTATATGCCTGCTCTCTACCAGAGGTTTATTAAAAGAGGATAGTTTATTAAACTACACTATTTCCCTTAAGGTTTCTACTTGGAGACCTTTTTCTGGAAGGCTGAACTTTTTATTTGGCACAGAATACACTATCTTTCTGTGGTTGTTAGATGGAGAACTAATCAAGCCCCCTCTCATTTATAATTATCTAGATAAAATTTATTAAATACAATTTTTTCTTTGAAAAGTTCTGAAATACAGCCTTGATCAGATGACTAACTTTCACAGTAGTAGTAAAATTTCCTTCATCCATGTTTTTTTTTAAAGCTAATAATCTAAATATGTTTACCTTTGGCAGCATGGGAGTATCCCTCTTCTTCTTCTTTTCTGAATTAGGGTCATCTAATAAGTCTGGCTCAAAAGTATAAAGTTCAGTAAGCTCATTCATAGTAAAATGACGCTCAACCTGCTGCTGATCAACGACTCGGAAAGACAGTGACTGTTTAGTTACTTGCCGATCATAAATCTTATCTTCCATGGTTCCCTTTGTAAAAAGAAGGAACAATGTACAAATAAAATTTATAAACATGAAACTTAATCAAGGAGAAACATAGTTACTGGTTAATATGTAATGGTAAAACTTCATGGTAATATATTTACATAAAGAAAAATTCATTAGCAATGTTGCTTAATTCATGAAAGATTTCAACTTTCAGCACAGTTTAACGCGACAAATTAAGAAAATTAAATCAATGATAATCATTCTACACTATCTGACCAAAATGCATTCATGTGTTATTTTATATATTTCTACATTTGGTAGAAGGAGGAGGGCAGGCAGATAACCAGCATAAACAGAAAAAAGGGGGCACACAAAATAAAAATTTAGGTGGGTATTAAAGTTACAATGCAAGAGAGTAGTTTAATTCCTTTTTCAATATCATATAAGCTATCAACAATCACTATAAACTGCCTTTATAGCAGGTCTTACTTTGTATAATTTCAAGACAGAAAACTCATATAAAGTTCTATATCCATTACATATAAACTACATTACATTAAATGTATATTAAATATAATGTATTACAGATTATACAATATAATGTAAAAAAACTCTAAATTTAAATAACAGGAAAAAGTTTACAATGAGGTTATCCATCATATTAGGTACTAAAGAAGATCAAATAAGGAAGGATTTGCCAGTAAAACCCAGTCTCTGATTGAGAAACTCAGATTTGGAGGCAGGTGGAGAGTGGTAGCACCTGCTTCCAAAGCAGATGTACCAGTTAAAAAGGCAATTTGATCCTATAAACTTGTATTACCTTGAAATGTATTCACTTCTTTGATTTCATTAATACTTATTTTTCTCAAACTTGAGTTTCTGTTTTTTAAGACCTGAGTTTATATTTAAAGAAGAAACTTTAATATTCTTGCCTAGAAAGTATTAAATATTCTTTGTAATGATTCTATGTTATTTTTACCCACATTTTTCAAATTAAGAGAATACCTGGTGGCCACTGAAAAACAATGATCATCTAACTTTTTCATTCATAAGCAAATCAGATTTATTAACAGTTATTTGGTTTTTCTATCTTTGTTAATAGATGAACTAAAAATGTTTGACTTTCCTGAACTAGCAAGAAAATATCAAATTTGTTTACTCATGCAAAACAATTTCAACCTGAGAAAGTTGACGTTACAGAAATTGACAAATTACAAAACAGAAAATCGTGAGATGTCAAAATTGACTTCTGCTGCCTCATGTATAGGATTGATAGTTTCAAACTTTGTTTACCTCTCTGTAATACATGTATGTTCCGCACCTCTAAAATAATCAGTTTCATCCGGTCTTTCAATATGAAAAAGAAAATATAAATTATAAACCTACCTGAGCTAAGAACCTATATACATAAACAGGCTTAGTTTGTCCAAAGCGATAAACTCTGAATATACTCTGGATGTCATAAGATGGATTCCAAGAAGCATCAAATATAATTACTCGATTAGCAGCTACCAGATTAATTCCTAGAGATCCTGCTTTGGTGGAAATAATAAACAATCGCCCCCTGAAAATGAAAATATAGAATAAATGCTTTAGTAATGAGTGCTTTACAGATATTTCAATTATGATACCACTTTTTGATCCGTAGATAGTTTTTTGAACAATTAGGAGTTCAGAGAATTTGTTTCTTACTTACTGAAGAAAACAAGACATTATTCTAAGGAATCAGGTTGATGATTTATATTCCCAGGAAGAAGTGCTAGAAAATGAAATAGTCTGAATTAAGAATAAAGATGAAATGAAAATCATGTGTACAATATAGTCAATGTTTTATTTATAGATTGCTGAGTAAATTTAGAAAATGTCTGTGTAACTTGAAAGTCCATTTTGTATTGGGTACTGTTGGGGCACTAAGTACATCAAAATGAAGGGCAGTGTTCAAGGAACTGAGTACAGTAGGGGTGACTCATATGCAAACATTTATAAAATAGTGTAATGAATGTAAGGAGAGAAGTTAGATAGATTCAAGGTACTAAGGTAGGTAAAATGGGAGCAAGAAGACACAGGGCTCCAGGAAGGATGTACCTAAGGAAATAAAAAAAAAACTGATGTGTTGGAACACAAGGATTTATAATATTTTTATAGGAGAACTGGGAATAAATTAGAAATAGGTACACAGAAAACTAAGCAAATGGTAAAAACAAATCAATACTTTAGCAAAAATAAACAGGTGCACAAAAAAGGAAAACTATTCATAGTATTTTAAATGTCTTAAGAATATTTACATAGTCACAATAGAGCAAACACACCAAATTCATTTAGGCAAATATTATAAAAAATTGTATTGAGAAAACGAATGAGGAAAGGCGTGCATGTGCCGGTGGGCAAATTGCCACTTTAGACTGTAGAAAAGATATACAAGGCCTGTCGGGAAAGTATCCAGCCATTGTTAATATAATGAGAACAGTTTGCACATTGATGTAACCTGGCAGCCAAGAAGAGTGGACTGTAATGTGCATGTGCGAACAATGAAGACTTCACTATACTAATCAGTGGGGCGCGAGATGCTGCTGGGTGGGCATGTGTTCTGTGTGGCCGTCACATTCTAAATGACTGAGTGGGTAGAGCAACGAATCTCCATCAAATTTTGCGTTAAGCTTGAACACTGCCCTGCAGAAACTATTCAGATGATCCATAAGGCTTTCGGGGATGACGCAATGAGTGCAACACAAACAAAAGTGTGGCACAAGCACTTTAAAGATGGTCGAGAATCTGCTGAAAGTGATCCATATTCTGGAAGGCCTGCAACAAGCAGAACACCTGAGAATGTTGCACATGTTCAGGCTGCAATCAACTAAAATTAGTGACAGACAGTGCAAGAACTAGAAGCTGATCTGGGGATTTCCAAAACAACTGCGTGCGAGATTTTGATGCAGGATCTTGGCACAGAACGTGTTGTGGCAAAATACGTTCCGTAACTTCTGCTACCAGAGCAGAAGGAACATCATTCTGCATTTGCTAATGAGTTGCTTCAAACCGCTACCAATGAACCAGATTTCCTCAAGGAGGTCATAACTGGAGATAAACCGTGGATCTATGGCTATGATCCAGAAACAAGGCCCAGTCGTCCCAATTGAAGTTACCTGGTTCTCCACGCCCAATGAAGGTGCGGAAAAGTTGCAGCAAGATCAAGACCATGTTAACTGAATCTTTTGATTGGGAAGGTGTTGTCCATCACAAGATTACTCCTCCAGGCCAAACAATTAATAAGGAGTACTACCTCAATGTTCTTCGTTGGCTGAGAGATGCAATGCGATGAAAACGGCCACAGCTATGGGTAACTGTTGATTGGCAGCTTCATCACAACGCGCCTGCCCATGCATCACGTCTCGTGCAGAGTTTCTAGGCGAAACATCAAATCACCCAGGTGAACCAGCCCCGCTACAGCCAAGATTTGGCACCCTGCAACTTCTGGCTTTTCCCAAAACTAAAATCACCTTTGAAAGGGAAGAGATTTTAAACCGTCGATTCAGGAAAATACAATGAGGCAACTGGTGGTGATTCCAACAAAGGATTTTGCAGAGTGTTTTGAACAGTGGAAGAGATGCTAGGAGAACTGTGTGAGGTCCCAAGGTGCCTACTTTGAAGTGAACTGAGGCATCACTGTCCTATGTCTTGTATCTTCTTCGATAAATGTCTCCATTTTTCATATTACATGGCTGGATACTTTCCGGACAGATCTCTTAAGTAAGTAAATACAAAAGAAATGCCAAGAGTTGAAATTGGTTACTTCAAAAAGTAGAAATCTTGGGTAGAAAGAGGTTGGTCACAGGACTGCTTTTTATTTGAGGCCTTGTAAAACTATTTGCTTTTTTAAAACTATGTAAGTATATTACCTTGATATTAATAAAAATTTAATTTGAAAAAGATTATATATAACCTTTTTTGAAAATATAAACAAGTCTAAAGAAAAAAAAATTACTCAGATCCACTCCCTAGAAACAACCTCCATTCAAATAATGATACATTTCATGTAGGTTTCTTTTTTTTCTCAGTATCTACTTTTTGGGTTTTACACATCAAGATAACATCTGTACATACAGTTTATATTATGAGCATTTCCTCGAATTTCCCGGTAAACATCATGCTTAGTGGCTGCATGATATTTCATTGGATAACTATACAATACTAATTCATTTATTGTTGACAACTTATATTAGAATAAGAAAATCCCTGGAATATAATAAGCTCTCAACAATCACCATAAAATGCCTTTATACCAAGCCTTATTTTCTTTCACGACAGAAAATTAAAAACAAATGCTGTGCCTGTTATGTTTATGGCATTATATACTAGAGTGCAAAGAAACTCTAAATTTTGGGAAAGAATTTACAATTTAGTTTACTAATCATATACTAAAGAAAAACCCGGTACAAAATGAGCAGAGATACTAAATTCTTGTTTTATGTCAACATGGAGCTACCACACATCTAGGAATACAACCTCTAGAAATTATCACAATAGTTCA